AAAATGATTGTGTTAATAGTGGCACAACTCTGTGAATACATCACAGTAGAAGCCAATTAATAATATATGTATGTGAAGCACATCACACAAGCTGTTAAAAACTTTTTAATTATAAAAATTATTTAAAACATCAAGCAATGGAGAAATGAACACCTTGCTAGCACTCGCAATAAGGAAGCTGGAGGAGCTATATTAACTGCAAACAGAGATGACTTCAGGGACAAGGAAAATTATCAGGGACCAAAAGGAGCATTGTACAATTCTAGTGTGTGTGCACCTAGCAATAGAGCGTCAAAATGCTGAGGGCAGAAACTCAGAAATGCAAATAGAAATATCTATTATTACACGTGGAGGCTTCAACACTACTCCATAGGTCATAGTTTGAACAAGCAGAAAACCAGGAAGAATATATTTGCTCTGAATAACACTATCAATCAATTTGATTTAATTGACATTTGTAGAATACTCTTTCCCAAAACAGCAGAATAGACATTTTTCTCAAGATCACAAGGAACATTGACCATGATAGACCACACTCTGGGCCATAAACACACTTTAAATTTAAAAGAACATAAGTTACATTAGTTTACAACAGCTGTTAATAAAATTATCACAAACTAAATGGCTTAACACAACAGGAATTTATTGTCTCACAATTCTAAAGGTGTGAGACAAAAATCAATCGAAATCGGGGTGTCAGTAGGACAGTGTTCTCTTTGAAATCTGTAGAGAAGACTCTTTCCTTGCCGCCTCTTCCTAGCTGCTGGTGGTATCTGTCACTCCTGACATTCTTTGGCTTGTAGCTTCATCACACCAATCTCTCTCTGCCTCTGTAATCTTGCATGGTTCTCCCTCTATGTCTCTGTCTTCACATAGCACTTCCTCTTTTCAGAAAGATCCCTGTCACTTTGGGTTAAGGCCACCCTAATGACTTCATCTTAGCTTGGTTACATTTGCAAGGACCACATTCACAGGGACTGGGGGTGGTTAGAACTTCAACCTATTTGGGAGGGGAACACAATTCAACCTATAACAGGAATCATACAAACTATAGTCCTAGATCACAATGAAATTAAACTGGAAGTCAATAACAAAAAAACAGCTGTAAAATCACAAAATACTGGGAGATTAAACCCATACTTTTAAATAATACATGGATCAAATAAGTAGAGAAATTAAAAAGAATTTTGAACTAGAAGAATTAAAATGCAATTTAGCAAAATTTGTGGGGTGTAATGAAAACAGTGCTTAGATAGTAAGTAAAGCAAACAGACAGCCTTCGGAATGGGAGAAGATTTTGCAGGCTATGCTTCTGACAAAGGTCTAATAACGTGAATCCATGGAGAACTCAAACTAATTAATCAATTAAGAAAAGAACAACCTCATTACTATGTGGGCAAGAGACTTGAACAGAAACTTCTCTGATGAAGCCAGGTGCGTGGCCTACAAGCAGATGAAAAAATGCTCATCATCCTTAATCACCAGAGAAATGCAAATCAAAACCTCTCTGAGATATCATCTAACTCCAGTAAGATTGGAGGGGATGTGGAGAGAAGGGCACACTTCTATACTGCTAGTGGGAATACAAGCTAATATAGCCCTTTTGGAAAGAAGTTTGGAGAACACTCAAGGAACTAAAAGTAGACCTACTGTTTTATCCTGCAATTCCTCTACTAGGTATATACCCAGGTGATCAAAAATCATTTTACAACAAAGACATTTGCACCAGAACGTTTATTGCAGCCCAAGTGCTCTTCAACCCATGAATGGATTAACAAACTGTGGTATATGTATACTACGGAATATTATGCAGCCATAAAAAAGAGGGAGACTTCACATCTTTTATATTTACCTGGATGAAGCTGGAATATATTCTTCTTAGTAAAGCATCTCAAGAATGGGGGGAAAAGTATCCAATGTACTCAATACTACTATGAAATCAAAAAATAATCACCTATACATTCATATGAATGGTAAAACATAACCATAGTCTAGAAAGAAGGAGGGAATGGGAGGATAGGAGAACAGAGGGGGGAGTCCAGGAGGAGGGAGGGTATTTGATGGGACCTCACCTAATGTGCATAATGCAATGGTACATTTCAAAACTATTAAGAATAGAGTATAAATGTCTTACCACAGCACTTAAGTAAGCAAGGAGATGGCTATGTTAATTAGTTTGATGTAAGCTTTCCACATTGTATATCAAGTCAGCACATTGTACCTCATAAATGCATTAATGTACACAGTTATTATTTCATAAAGGAAAAAAATTAAGAATAAAATAAGAAAAAAACAGGGCTAAGAGTGCTTAGCATTAAATGCATGTATTAGAAAAGAAGAAAACTCTAAAATCAACAACCTAAATTTCCACTTTCAGCAACTAAAGAAAGAAAATACTTAAGCTTTAAGAAAACAAAGGAAAAGAAATGATAAACATTAGAACATAAATCAATGGAATTGAAAATAGGAAAACAATAGAGCAGGAGTGTCCACTCTTTCTTTTTCCTCTGTGCCACATTGGAAAAATAAGAATTGTCTTGGGCCACACTTTAAATACACAAACATAATGAAAGATTAGCAAGAAAAAGGCGTGTGCATACTTTTTATGATATCTAACACCAGAAATAAGCCAAAAAAGTACTCACAAAATCAGCATGTGGCCTGAAGGTT